AGAAGTGGATTCGCATGGCCCTATAATATTCAAATTCTAGAAATGGTAAAAAATCCTCCAAACTTTTCAATTTTTTATTGATTATAGTACACAAAAGTTGAATTAGTATTATGTTAACTACGTTAGTTTTTTTTTTTTTTTTTTTTGTTAATGCACTAATTTGGTGATATTCACTTTTAATATATATTTTAATAAAAATACATGACCAATTCATCGAGCACATCATCAAATGATAACGATACTTTACCTTATATTGTTGATTGCTTTGCAATCAATGCACATTCTCTACGTCCCATACACTCTGTTTTATCAACTCCTTGAGTTGCCTTTCAAGCTCCTTTGTCTCCTTAAGGAACATATTAGGTACAAAATCAATTTGATGCTTGATCCCTCTAACGGGTGGTAACCCACTAGGCTTATGAAACAAGTGCTCAAATTTCTGCAACAAATAAATAGCCAAAACTCAAGAGGGATTGTTAGTTTCTTCAAGAATAATGTAGGATTCTTTGTACACCAGCAATATCAAATGCTAGTTTTTCATGAAAAGAACTCTTAATCTCACTCTCTTTTTGCATAAAAATCGACTTTTGGTTTTCTCCTCTCTACAAGTTCTCTATTTTTTTTTTCTTGTGCCTCTTTTTTATAATTTTTAGATGCCTCTCTCTCTAGAGCTCTCTCCTTTTTTTCCCTTGAAGTTTCAACTTCACTCTCATTTCTTGTTGAGTTTTTAGTTTCACTCTCATTTTCCTCTCTCTTTCTTTTTGCCTCACTTTTAACTTTAGTTTGTCCTTATTGACCTGTTTTGGTGTTAAATGAACTAGAGTAACTTATTTTCTTTCTTTGACAAAGTTATACCTATTTTTAAAGCATCATGTATCACTTCCTATCATATTGTCCTGGCCTTCTCAATAAGATATGCCATGATGCATAGGAATCACATCATACATCATCTTATCACTATACCTCCCCCAAGTTAAACGTAATAGGACTTGCTTGTCAACCTTGACCGAGATCATCCGATCACCGTAACTTATAGGGTCCAGGTTATAAAGCATAGATAAGCCCAACTTATGAATAAGGGTGATACTAGCTACATTGGTACAACTCCCCCATCTATTATCATACTACCCACCTTGTTAAGATAGCACTTAGTATGACAAATGTTCTCTCTGCTGCTCCATATTATCCACTTGAATTTGCACACTAAGAGCATGCCTTGCAATAAGTGTGAACCCTCTACCAGGTATTCTACCCATCACCATCACTAGCATCCTCTAGGGGCATTCATCATTATCATTCTCGTCACTAGTCACCGCTTCTCCACTATCACGTATAATCATTGCCATTTGTTTGCATTTTGATGCAATGTGCCCTGACCCAAACATCTAAAGCATTTGTTATCCCCATTCCTAGAAGATTAGAAATCTAAGTTGAATATGCTAGATATCTCTTTTTTTCTCCTAGAAGGTACGATTTTACTCTATGAAATCTACTGTGAATTGTGTGAAAGTAGGATACTCCAAATCTGAGGGTCAAAGAGTTTTAGAAAACGTTCTTGGTGGACCCCATCAATCATATTATTATTTCCCCCCATTGGTCTCCCAAGGATATTAGAACCTAAAGAATAAATTGTTGCACCTTTTCTTTTTAATTACCTCATCACCTTATAGCCATGCGCATGTCCTCCAATATGTAACTCAATGACATGGGCCAGATCTATATCTTCTATCAGCATTGGCCCAAATGAATACAATTTTATCATCTACACTCCTTGAATCATGAGTAAGACTGTAATTTTTTTTTATAATGGTCCACATAGTAATGAGTATATACAATTCTCCTCCTCATGAGAGCTTTTGAATCGCCCTAGTTTCTATAGGTCTCCCATAAGCTTTCCTCCTAGTTGTCACCAATTGATCCTACCATATTATTGTATAATCAATGAATTAATCATTGCTAGCTTCACCTTATTCTCATCTGAGTAGTTTTGGTAATCAAATATCAACTTCAACTTCAACTTCTTTTTCCCATTTTAAATAGATTTAGAAGTTAATCCTACCCTGGGATGGAAGAAACTTCATTTGAACACTACCAATATCTTTTAGGCCCAATTTTGTCTCCTTCCTCATCTAGGATTCTGTCAACTTTTTTTTTCCATCTCGACCACCATTGTCTCTTGTAGGACCACCCATTCCATGCCACATATCCACATAAAGGAACACTTACATGACTATTTTGTTTACCCCCAAACTAGTTCTCCAATTGTTATTCGTAAACTTGCAATCACAATATCTTGCGCATCCATTCTATCCCTAATTTCTCCAAAGGCTACATTCATCCTCTTAAATTGTTGTTGCATGGCTTTCAACAAACAAATTGGCTTTCCTCCTTGTAGATGTGGATTTTCCTTATCTTATCAGACATCTTAATTAACTAAGATAGTTATCTTAGGTGTTTATAATCAAGTGTTTCACTCTACTCTGGTTTTCCCCAAAGCTCAACGCCCTTGCCTTTTTCCTATCTATGATTTCTTTGACAGGGTCTCTAAGGAACCTAAAACTCAATCCAGTCTTTATAATATTCAAACCAGCAAGAAGTTTTTTTCTATTGGCTTATGAATTTGCTTTGTTGCATAGCTATTGCTTTCCAAATCAGCTCCTTCTTTAGCTTGAATCAAATGCACTAAGATTGGTTCTTACTTGATATGCCTAAGTAAATCATGGCTTCTTTGATCTTCTTTGTTCTTAATCTAGTGATTGATCCATCTAGAACATGCAATGGATCATTGCAATTATGCCATCCAGGATTCTAATCATTTCCTTCCTCTACGATAGAATTCAACTTCGAATCATCATCTACCTCAAGGAGAGAAATATCAACAACATTAGAAGTACTGCTCACTTGGAAGATCTAGTTTTTAGGCATCATCATTAATTTTTTCAAGGACTTGGAATGGTCCATCTTATCTAGGAGACATTCTTTGGGCTGGAAAATGTTCCTTCTTCTTGTGTACCCAAATCCAATCACTTGGTTCAAATTTCCCACATCTTCTTTCTTTATTAGCTTGAGAAGCATAATGTTCATTCTTCTTTTAAACTCGAAGTCGAACCTTTTCATGGATTGACCTTACTAATTCAAAATTATTCTTTCCATCTAAACTACATCTTTCATTAACAGGTAAAGGTATTAAGGTTTATTTAGATTATTTGTTGTGTTCCTTTTCATCCACTCTTGACTACCCCTGTTGTTTCGGCTGCACAAGGTTGGAGTACTGACATAGAGCATGTCTAGCACGTGTTGACAAAACCTAGTATCATAGTTTTAGATGTCCCAATTGAGGTCACTTCAAAATGAAAGTGAATAAAATGCCCTCATTGTGGGGGCAGTTTTTGGAGTCATACGACTCCACTAAGGGATGCACATACCTCAAAATGCAGCCGTAAGACTTGTGATGTGTTCTTATTTACTTTTCTTTAGGGCCGATCCAGAAGATAGCCCCATCTAAAAGTCCATATACATGGAAACCCATGATAACTTGGAGCGGATAAGGGTGAATACAACCCTTTGTGGATGGTAATTTTCCTAAACAAGTAAACACCATTGCTATAAAAAAAAATTTGCTTCACCTTTATCACATGACAAATATAACTTACAAGTTGCAGAACACAACCTACCCATAATAATATTAAATGCATTTTCTTATTCAATGCCCCAATAAAATTCAACACACTATTGTCACAATCTCAATGAGTAGGGGTGGCAAGTGTACTAAAAAATCTTTAACAAAATGCCTAAAAAAAAAAAAAAATAGCTAGGCCATCAAAGCTTCTTATCTTAATTATGCTTTTAGGTGTTTGCACTTGACAGCTTTTAACCCCCGTTTGGCCCCCATTAAATTCAATTACATTACATTCCATTTCTCTCTCTCCTGTTTTCAACCACACAATCTTCTATAAAATAATATTATACGTAAATCGCAAATTTTTCTTTCTTTTTCAACCACTCATTTTTCAAAAAAAAAAATACTATTTCACCCATTTTCATTTTCGAAAAATGGGGGCCAAAAGGGGGCTTAGTTTCTTCAAAACTAAGGAAGGATTCATTACAAACTAGCAATATAAAAGGCTGATTTTCCATGAAAGCACTCTTAGCCCCCGTTTGGCCCCCATTAAATTACATTATATTTTTCCCTCTCCTATTTTCAACTACAAAATTTTTCATAAAATAATATTACACGTAAATCAAAAACTTTTCCTTCTTTTTCAACCTCTCATTTTAAAAAAAAAAACACTATTCCTCCCATTTTCATTACCGAAAAATGGGGGCCGAACAGGGGCTTAATTTCACTCTCTTTTGTTCTAAAAAAACACTAACTTTTTTCTTTTCTCCACAGGCTCTCTATCTTTTCTTTCTCGTGGCTCTTCTTTTTTATTATTTTCAGCAACCTCACTATTTTCCTTTTTACTCTATTTTATTCTTTCACTCTCTTTTGTTCTAAAAAAACACTAACTTTTTTCTTTTCTCCACAGGCTCTCTATCTTTTCTTTCTCGTGGCTCTTCTTTTTTATTATTTTCAGCAACCTCACTATTTTCCTTTTTACTCTATTTTATTCTTGAAATTTCGGTCTCATTCCCATTTTGCCTCTTTTTTTTTCTTTTTTTTTTATCTTCCTCACCTTTTAATTTCAATTGATTCTTGTGGACCTGCTTTGATGTTAAAGGAAAAAGTGTACCTTATTTTCCATCTTTCACAAAATCGTATGTATTTTTATATCAAGAACATGTATCACCTTCCGATCATATTGCCACAGCTTTTCCAACAAGATATACCTAGCAAGCATAGGAACCACATCACCTCATCACTATACCTCCCAATAGTAAAGCTCACCAAGACTTGCTTGTTAACCTTGACTGAATTCATTCAACAAGTGCAACTTATAGGGTTTAGGATGTTTCAACATAGACAAGCCCAACTTTTCAACAAGGATAGTACTAGCTACATTGGTAAAACTCCCCAACGCGGTATCTATTATGAAAATATTCTCTCCCTGCTGCTCCACATTATCCACCTTAACTTCTGTACTAAAAGCACGCCTTGAAACAAGTGCTTCACCTTCTACTAGGTATTCCACTTCATCACCATCACTAGCGTTCTCCAACTCGAGCATCTCATCACTATAACTCTCACTCTCTATCACCACTTTCCGAACGTCATGCAAGATAACCACTTCTTTGAGCATTATACCTCGAACCTAAGCATTTAAAACACTTTATATCTCTATTATAGAAGGTTGGGAATCTGACTTTGGTTTATTTTCGTTAGCTACCTCTTCTTTTTCCCTAGGTGGTTCAATCAACTCTTTAAAACAGCCCCATTACCCCTATTATTTACCCTAGTTTCGTTTCAAAGGAGGATTAGAACTCGAGTAATACCTTTTAGCTCCTTCCATTTCAATTATCTCTCCACCTTCATAGCCATATGTATCATGTCCTCCAACTCTCACAATATTGTAACTCAACATTGGCTATACCCTATTTACTCCATTCAAATATCTAGCCATTGTGGTAATCATTGAAACTAGAAGTAAGGTTTTGTAATTTTTGATAAAGGTCTCTGTAGTAATGACTAGGAACAATTCTTCTCCTCATGATATCATTCAACTCACCTCATGTTTCTATAGGCCTCTCATGATTCCTTCTCTGTTTGTAACCATTGATCCCACCATATTATTGCGTAATCTGTAAATTCTATCACTACTGGTTTTACTTTTTTCTCCTATGAATAATTAGGGCAATCAAAGATCAAAACTAACTTCTTCTCCCTTTCCAAATTAAGTTCAGGGTCATTTCTAATTCGGAATGAAGGAATTTATCCAAATTACGATCAATCTGCGTCCATCTCGACCACCAAAATCTCTAAAATATCCTCTAGGTCAATTTTCACGCCTGTCTTTCCTATTCCTCATCCTACCTATTTGGTCATCGAGATTTGTTCGGCCCTAAGATCATGCCTATCTTGCCTCCTATCTTGAAGTTTAATGTGTTGCTTGTTGTATGTAAACACCCTGCTCATGTTGCTTGGTTATTCCTTGCATCACTTCTTTGATCTTCTTCACTGTTGATCTTGTAATCAATTCATCATGCAACGGGTCCTTTTTAGCTTGCTTTCCATGATTCTCGTCATTCTCTTTCTCTTTAAAAGGATTCAACCTTGAATTTTCACCTACTCAAAGAGAGAAAGATTAGCAACATTGAAAGTAGCAAACACATTATACTCACTTGGAAGGTCCAATTTGTAGGCATTTCAATAATCTTTTCAAGGGCTCGAAATGGACCATCTCCTCTAGGACACAATTGACCTTTTTGGGCTAAAAACGTTATTTTCATATGTGTAACCAAATCCAATCTTCTGGTTCAAATATTACGCATCTTCTTCCTTCAATGACTTGAGTCAGATAATGTCCATTCTTCTCAATTTGAAGTCGAGCGTTCTCATGAAGTGACCCTGCCAATTCAGCCTTCTTCTTCCCACCGAAACAACCTCTTTCATCAACAAATAAAAGAATTAAATTCAACGGAGTTAGTGGATTAAACCCATACACAATTACAAAAGATGAACAAGTAGTAGAATGCATAGCCTTTTTGTAAGCAAACTTTATAAATGGTAAACTATTCTCTAACTTTTGAAATTCTAATTGATTATAGTTTGCAAAAGTAGAGTTAATATTCTATTACCTATCTCGGGTTGTCCATCTCTTTGTGGGTGACAAGTAGCAGAAAATATAAGCCTAGTTCCCAATTAACCCACAAAATCCTGCAAAAGTGGCTAAGGAACGTAACATTCCTATCAGACACAATGCTCCTAGGTATCCTATGGAAGCGAACTATCTATCTAAAGAACAAATCAGCTATGTTCATGGCATCATCTGTTTCATGACGTGGAATGGAATGTGTCATCTTATTAAACCTATCTATCAATATCTATCCCCTTTTGTACTAGGCAGCCTCAACAAAAAGTCCATAGACATGCATGGCTCACTGGCTATGGGTAACGGTATATACAAGCCCTGTGGTAAAAATATAGATTTAGTCTTTTTATAGGTGATGCATCTATTACAAAGTGATTAACATCTCTTTTCATCCTAGAAATAAAAAATGCTCATGCAGCATTTCTAAGGTTGTTAATAGAAAAATATCCTTTTAAAACCCCACTATGTGCTTCACGTACTAACAATTTACTAATGGAATAATTATGCAAACATAACTTACTTTTCTTAAACAAATATCCATTCAGCATGTTAGAAAAATATATATCATTGGTATACATGTCCTTAATACATTCAACTCAAAGCATTTTTGGCACTTAAAGAAGCAAGAAGTACATGAATCCTTGATAATGCACTAGCAAATAGATTCATGCCAATGATAAATACATGCGTGGTAATCATTCTAAAGACATTTTTGGAATTTGTTTCTTTCAGTATTGAATTATGTTGTCGTTTGAGAAAAAAGATTGCTCTACCTAGTTTTTGTGCATGCCATTTTTCACGTAAATACTAGAATTTGAACGGACTCTGTTCAAATTCTTTTTTTAAAATTGTTTCTTTTGGCATGATTTCACTATTTTTGCTATTGTCCAGAAGTTAGTTTACTTCTAAGAATTATTAGGCGATCCATTAATATGAAGTGATGCCGTTTAGAATTAAATAATTATTGAAAATAAATTCTTAATTAAATCCTTATGCTTTTTGCTAAAAGTATAGTTAATTATTATTTGCGGCTAAAGTATAATTAATCTAGCAACTTATCGATCCATATGGGTCAGGGCGTTACAAAGGATATAACCAATACAGTTGAGTTACAACTTATCACACCTTATTGTAAGAAGTACCCTAAAACCCACACAAGATTTGATAGAACCCCAAGAAAGCTAAAATCAGGTGAACCTTAACCAAATGATTTCTTAAATCAAGAATTAAGGCTTTATTAATGTCTAACTGCCACAAAGATTGCCAATGTTTCATAAGTTTTGAATAGTTCAATTAAAAAATTAGATTGAAAGCAAAAAAATGTTAGTTTGTAGTTAATCTATCAAATAATTTGTTGCTTATTTTGAAATGAATATGCCTTATTGCAAACATAAAGAAACCTTAATCTACTTGGAAAGCATCAAGATAAAAATAGACAAATAGAGTTTTAATCAAACTAAGAAACTAAAATTGGTTGCTGACATTTGTACCATGCATACGTTTTGCTCTTGGGTTTCGCATTGATCACTATGGAGCCTCTTTCTATCGTTTTCCTAGGTGCAAATTTTATCCCCATCATTTGGGATGCTTTTTAGTTCACTAGTGCAACTATTGCTGTTTGTATTGGATTTATCTTTTAGAAGGTTCGGAATTTTATATTTTTAAGTTGGTTGATGTAGCTCATTTAAGAAAAGATTTATGGAAGCTCTTCCAACTAAGGTGATGAAGCCATAAGTTATTTAAAATCTCAACAATTTAAGAGAATAAGTTTAAGAAAGTTTGTTATAAACATTTAATGAATAACTGGGGTTGCCATAATAATCATCTACGTGGTATTTCACAGAGGCAATCCAAGTTCAAATCACCGTGCAAATGTTGTCATAAAATATTTTTATAAAATTATTTTTAAGTTAAAAACTCCTCATATTGCAATTTAAGAATAAATATATCAAGATAATTGGAGGAAATAATTTTTCATTATTAGGCATTCATATAGATTGGTTACAAATTATATGAATAATTCATTTTCCACTATTTTCATTATGTAATTATAGCTTAAAACTCTTTAAATTCCTATTTAAAGACTAAATTTAATAAGGTTAATGATAATAGAATTCTCTCATTTATTTTTTCACTAAAAAGGGAAGTTACCAGAGGAGGAAAGTCGCTTTTTTTATAACTCCTCTCCTCAAATCCAATTTACTCTTATTTTCTCTCAAAAATACTTTTTATGTTAAGTTTAAGGGAATAGCAAGGGTGTGAAGGAGAAAGGTCTTTTACACATTTTTTTTTTCCTTTTATACTTCAAGAATAATCAAGGCAAGTAGAGGTGGAAGTGGTTATTTCATTATCAAATTATATTTTTCATTAAAAATATGAATGAATGGGTACCTCCGGGTGCGATGTTTTGGAATTACTTCAAGAAAAATCTAGGCTCTACGTGTTATGATAATTATATAGAAATTGGATTTTGTCGGAAACCCATTTACTTGTCATGCTATGAATCTATAATTTGAATTTTCTAATTTGATACTGAAATAAACCAATGATATCTATTGAGTTTCAAACCCATGGGTTAATTCCCTCCCCACAAGTTGATTTGATTTGCTAGGGACGTGGATGATGGTTATTGAATATTGCAAAATGCTATGGAGAAGTTGGTGACTTAATGTTTTTATTTGATTATGAAACATTTATGCGTTTTTCTTTAAATAAATATATTTATCATCCCACTGATTTCACTCGAAAACATGTAATGTAGCCCAAGTTATGCCATTTTGAGTAGAAGGACAGAATCTAGATTTTTAATTTAGTAATACTTGAACTTCATGCATAGTCAGATACAACATTTATATATTATAATTGACATGAAATGTAACTAGATGAAACAGACATTTAAACATTTTTTAAATTGCCATTAAGTTATTCATAATAGATTTACACAAATGAGAATTTTACTAGGAAGTTGAAAGATTTTCAAATCGCCAAACACTTGCCATTATGCCCTACCATGCCCCGATGTTACCCGTAAGATTTTGGTAGGGATGAGTGCTACAAGTAATACTCAATAGGAAAGTACTAAAGTAAATGGTAAAAATATATATTTTTCATAAATGCAAGCTTTTGTCATTTGTGTAAAGGTCAATCTCTTCATCTCTTATTTATACCAGCAAACGATGCTTCCTTCATGAGTAACACAATAACACAAATGTAAATCTTGGTAATTAGTGTCACATTCAATCTCTTTCTCTTATTTAAACCACCAAACGATACTTTCATCATGAGTAACACAATAACACATTTAATGCAAATCGAAAACAAATAATTCTTACATCACTTACAAAAGTATCAAAAACACCCCTACCTTAATGCTTGGAGTTGGAATATCTTCTCGTGTCCACTTTTAACCTCTTCTTCAAAAAATTTCAAATTTAAGTGTTCCTTGTTTCTATGGAAAAGGGGCAATTTTTTTTTTTTTCCTTTTATGTATA